TTTCTATTTAGGCTACATCAACCCCTTAGATCAACAGTATAAAAAAAAAAATATTTTATTATTCATATAATATCGAAAAATAAATTTTCAAATTTAATTTTAATGAATTTTATTCAAAAGGACTTTATTGGTACAATTTTTATATTCGCATACCCGGCAAGTAAAAGTAACTGCAAGCTTGACCTGTTAACAAAAGTTATTGAATTATTAATAGAATTTATCCATCGGAACGGTATTCCTAATTTTTTAGAAATACTTGATAAAATTTCACCGCAAATCAGCATACAATCGATTGACACGTTATGGATCAAATACAGCCGATATGACATTGTCATACCTTTAAAGATCAAGGATATCATGTGAGAGCTATCGACACGAGAGTCAAAAGGCTATTAAAAATCAATAAGGATCATAACTCGAGTATTTGCATAAAAGTTTTTACAGTGACACTCGCTGACGCGTATATTTCTTTATGATACAGTAGGTATCATAGTCGATAGTACACGATATCCTAAATGACATCAACAGATCCTGTCGATAGTACATTTTGTCGATGACAAAAATACAGAACACGAAGATTAATTATTCTACCCTTATACCTCATTCAAAACTTTCACCCCCATATCTCTTCCCACATTACTCTTTACCAAAAACCAACGTATCTTCACTATACCCTAAGTAAGATCAAGGGATCCTATCGATGGTACAACGAAAACGGAAATACAGGAAATGAAGATTAATTATTCTACCCTAATACCCCATCCAAACTTTTCATCCCTTCATTTTCCATCATACCACTCTTTTCCACGATACTACCCTAACATCGACAAATCCTCTCGATAGAACAACGAAAAAGAAAATAGACAACACGAAGTTCGATACCTCGACGAAAATTTCCACCCTTACATCTGTGCCATCGTAACCACCCCTCACCAAAAAGTAACATGCTTTTGGAATACCCTAAATAAGATCAAGAGATCCTGTCGATAGTACTACGAAAACGGAAATACAGGAAATGAAGATTAATTATTCTACCCTAATACCCCATCCAAACTTTTCATCCCTTCATTTTCCATCATACCACTCTTTTCCACGATACTACCCTAACATCGACAAATCCTCTCGATAGAACAACGAAAAAGAAAATACAGAACACGAAGCCCGATACCTCGACGAAAATTTCCACCCTTACATCTGTGCCATCGTAACCACCCCTCACCGAAAACCAATGTATCCCCACAATACCCTAAATAAGATCAAGAGATCCAGTCGATAGTACAAAGAAGATGAATATACAGAAGATGAAGATTAAATATTCTACCCTAATAACTCATTCAAAATTTTCACCCCTTCATCTTCTGTCATGCCACTCTTCTCCAAGAAACAACTTATTTCCACGATACCACGCTAATATCGACAAATCCTCTCGATAGAATATCGAAAAAGAAAATAGAGAACACGAAGTTCGATACCTCGACGAAAATTTCCACCCTTACATCTGTGCCATCGTAACCACCCTACACAAAAATGGCAACGTGTCTCCGGAATACCCCAGTATCGATGGATCTACTCGATAGTACAACGAAAAGGAAAGTCTAGGAAAAGAGCGAAGGTGGGAACGACGGGGTATAAATTCGTCGATCGTTCTCCACGAAGTTTCATTTCGATCACGAAATCCGTCGGCGCCATCCCACGTTCCGCCTGCTGCTCCTCCTGCGGCACATCGGGGATGCCCGGCACGTTCGTGAATCTGAATCTCGTGTTTGTACGTCCTATTCACGGCGTAGACATAATCGTGGCGTGGCTGCATAACGGTAAAAACAGATCGGCGTGCATTCACTTTTCCCCGTGCTGTGCGCGTGCAGTTTTTCCACCGCGTCTACGTACACCAAGCGTGTACAGTGCACTGTACACCCAGGCAGACGAAGACCGGTGCAGGCATGCAATAGCCTTTTAAAACCGACGAGTCATCGATCCACCCGGTCACCGATGTACAAATAACTCTAATGGAATTACCCTTTCCTTTCGATGTTTCGCCCCGAGAATCCAGCCGATCTGCATCTGCCAGCGATCGAGTCTCTCTCTCTCTCTGACTCCCTCTGTCTCGTTCAGAGGGATGCGGGCACCCTGCCTAGCGAGAGGAACGGTTGAATGAAATTTCGATCGTGAGAGAATCGACGTGATCATCCGAATACGATGGAAGTCGAGGAAAATAAATTGAAAATTTTTTAAATCGCACTGTTTCAGGCTAGCAATTTCAATTCCGGTCCTTTGTGTTTAACACTGAACCTAGCTTAAATGATCATTTCCCAATATTAAAACCAGCTTAAATGACTTTTTTTCAACATTAAAACTAGCTTAAATGACTTATTTTCAATATGAAAACTAGCTTAAATGATTGTTTTCAACATTAAAGCTAGCTTAAATGACTTCCTTTCAACACTAAACCTAGCTTAAATAACCATTTATTAATATTAAACCTAGCTTATATGACTTCTTTTCAACATTAAAACTAGCTTAAATGACCATTTATCAACATTAAAACTAGTTTAAATTACTTCGTTTCAATATAAAACCAGCTTAAATAACTTCTTTTCAACATCAAAGCCAGCTTAAATGACTTCCTTTCAACACTAAACCTAGCTTAAATGACCAGTTATCAACATTAAAACTAACTTAAATGACTTCTTTTTAATACTAAACCTAGCCTAAATGACCATTTATCAACATTAAAACTAACTTAAATGACATCTTTTCAATATTAAAACTAGCTTAAATGACTTCTGTTCAACATGAAAACTAGCTTAAATGATTATCTTCAACATTAAAGCTAGCTTAAATGACTACTTTTCAACATTCAAACTGGCCTACATGACTTTTTTTAACACTAAACCTAGTTTTAACAGACGTTCCTAAAATTTTTTTAAATTTTTGTTATTTTTCCACTCCAACGTTATCATCTTATTGTTGATTACTAGTCTTCGCGATTTTTCTTTCAGAATATTATGCATAATTAATATTTCTATATCTCCCATTATTCCATTTCTTTTTAATTATTTCCTTCAGTCACCAATCATTTGACTATGATAAGTTTAATATTAATATTTTTGTAATTTCCAGTTTTGGTCAAGATTTTAATATGGTAATATGTGTATTGTACCTTTAGTGTGTATGATGAACAATTGTACCGATAATTATTAAATTGTACGTGTTCGTATTATATTGTTATGACTTTTTCGAAATCGTTGTATGAGAATGTTTGAAACCCATGATTTTGTACCTCTAACTTTGTTCTAATTATTAAGTGCATGGAAATAAGCATGATTAGACGAGGAAGTCTTTTGAAGTAGAATCGTGAGGAAGATTGATTAATCGATACCTGTTCTACTTCTTTTCAAGCGAGGCTAACTCCTAAGTGAAATCTACTCTGTGTGCACATCGACACTTTTCATTTTGGAGGATAACCACTTACTTGTTGAAAAGATTCACGAAGACTATAAACTCGTATTGTTTCAGAAACAATCGAGTATTATTGGCTAATTTATTTTTGGAATGATATTTAATCAGAAAAACATTCGAAATATAAAATGCATTGAGAAAATTTTATTTAAAAAATTTATGGAAAATATAAGTGTATTTAGAAAATTCAAATGTTGGAAAGTATATTATCCAAGGAAAAGTTCATTTTTAAAAATGTAAAATAATTTTAATCGTCATGGAATGTTCCAGATGGTACTTCTCGAGTATATACAGATATTTTCAACATTTCAATTTATTTTTTTTCAATTTAGAAATCGAATTTGCATTTAAAAAGGCAATTTAAAGAACACCTCGATGATCTGGTTTAATTTAATAAGCGAGATATAGATCCCTAGGATTTATTCGTTGCAGAAATTCCAAGAATTACTGTCGCAGAATAAAATCTGACAGCAATTAGGCCAGTTCGCTGGAATTTCGAACAGATCCCCGTAATTCGTTAAATAAGTTTCCGGAATGTATAGATGCCATCTGAGCAAGTGGCATCTATTAACGTTGAAAAGTAGGCTAACATCGCGGCTGAAGATGATTCAATACTCGAGTGAAAGCTTTGACAACCGAAGCTGAATGCAAACCTTGTGACACGATATACTTCTTTCCTCGATTCTAATTCCTCGACGAATTCGAAATATGTCCGTATATCATACTTTCCCGAAGATCCGTTATTTTTCTAACCTAAAACGAATCAAATTTCTATCATCGTACAGTCAAACTGAATAAGAAAGGAAGAAGGTACAAAAAAGTAATGATTCTCATAAAAATCAATCTTACTAAACTGAAAATTTCCAAAATTCTTTACAAATTCATGCATTTTGCAAATCCTTTAGTTTATTCCAATTCTAGAAATTCCAACTCTTTTATTTAAAAATAAATTATTATTATTAAAATTT